CAATTGCTGGGTTGTAGAATAGTTCTGTTTTTAACTTCTTGAGAAACCTCCATACTGTTTTTCAGAGTGACTATACCAGTAGGGATTTTAAATGATATTTAATGAAAGCATATTTTGTGTTTGAAACTATTATAAACACTTTGCAATGTTTGCAAAGCCCAATGGTTACTATGCTGATACTCATTTTACATAAGTGGAAACAGAAAAGTAGGTGGATTCAGTTAATCCCACCAAATCATTAAAGTATAAAGTAGCAACCAAAGATATGAACCTGTTTCAGATGCCATTTTCATGCTCTTAACATCTATGACACATTACCCACTGACCAAAAGGATTTCCAGCTGTTTTCCAACTCCTTAAAAGGTATGGGTTTTACTCTATCTCTGCCATTTACTACCTATGTAACTTTAAACAAATCCCTACATACAATTATGCTACAAATATGCTGCATACAATTTATATATAATATCCCAATCACACACAAACATTTCATGTATCCAGTAACTAAAGATATATTCTTGAAATAAGAACAAAATCAAGGCTCTTAATCATAGCAGAAAAAGGTCCTTAATTAGTTGATAATAGTTTCAATGATTCTCCTTTTTAACAGGATTGGTCAAGATTTAGAACAGGGAATGCAGGGAATAGGGAATTGGAAACACAACTGTGCATCTGAAAATAGGAACACGGTTTATATAGAATCATTCTAAAGACACTTATTAGAGGTTGCTGTTAACATGTTAGAAACACTGTGGAGAGGTAGTTGTTTCCTGTTGCCATATTGAAGAACCCAGTGTGATTAAAGAATGCCCTGCGTATTTAACGATGCATTTAGAAAAATGCAACCACTTAGATGCAGTAGAATCAGGAGCAGAAAGTGAACATGTTGAAACATCACCTTTTACCCATAACTAAGTGTCCTCCACAGCAAAATCATGATTTGCCCAAAAGAATATTAATGTCTATGAATTATTTTAATGGTACCAACGGGGGAAGAATATGATGTAGTGGACAGATCATTCATCTTATGATCACGAAGATGAGCATCCAGAATCCCATGTCTTGTCAATTTTTTTTTTGTTCACATAAGCAATTCATTCTCTCTGCTCCTACTCTTTCAGCTGGCAAGTGGAATTTAGAAAACTAGATCCATTTGCCTTATGCCAAGAGCAATATGAAGTTCATTAAAGAATATTCAATAGAAGGCCCTACGGTTCTAATTTGTCAAGTCCCAGATATGTTTTCAGGGAAACAAACTGTTGTATAAAAAATAGATATCACCACTTTTGTTAGCTCATTGGATTATCTGTGGATTTTCTTTATTTGGCTACAGTAGGATGGGTTGAAGAACTCATATTAGACATACATTAAATACAAGGGAAAAACTAGTGTTGGTATTTATTTGTTCCACGTTCAGAACAACAGAGCTACATAAAATATTTATTTTTGTATAAATTGCGAATATCCAAACTTAGCCCTTGTTTGTGGAAGACTATGATCAGTTTAAGGGCATAAACGCATCTATTGATAATTTTTCATAAAACTGTAGAATGGACCCATAGGAAGTTCAGCCCTTGGTTTAGAATATGTCCTGAACAAGACTCAACTTGCATTCTTATGCGAGACTCAACATCTCTCAACATTTGGTTCATTGTTGCTTAGACAATGATTGAACATCAGTTGGGAAAACACAGGCCCATATAGAAAATATTCTTCAAAGAAGAATATACATATATAATGTACGCTTAAATGCACAGCGGTTTTGGAGCAAAGAATTTTGAGTCCACCTTTTTACATACCTTTTATTGAAAGAATTTATTTCAAGAATATCTTCTTAAGTTACTTGAGAAAAATCTCTGTGAGGAATTGCTTGCAAAGACAAAACTATAGGTTGAAAGGGAAAAAAAAGTTTCATAACATGATTTTGAAGATGGACTAAAGGACATGAGAGGCTGTGGATAATGTAAACATCCACCAAAGACAACCTGACAGGATTTTTCTGGCTTTTAAAAACCGTTTATCACATCCATGGGGCACTTGGGTGGCTCAGTTTGTTAAGCATTCGACTCTTGATTTCGGCTTAGTTCATGATCTTACAGTTCATGGGTTTGAGACCTGCATAGGGCTCTGCACTGACAATGTGGAACTTGCTTGGGATTCTCTCTCTCCATGTTTCTCTGCACCCCCCCCAAAAAATATATAAATTTTAAAACATCACATCTACAATAAAGGAAAATATGTGAAATAGAAAGTTAGGGTCTTAACCGTGTGATGTATAGACTAAAATGTTTAGACGCCAAATATTCTAGGCACTTTAGTAACCATTTTTCACTTAACAACCATTTCATCTACAGTATGACCTGATTAGGTATATTATTATACTACTGTCCCCATTTGGCAAATAAGGAAACTTCAACTCAAGATTATACAAGTACTAAAGGGAAGTCTATGTAAACCTTTCCCGTAAGACTTAGAAGTTCATATTTCTTCATTTTGCTTATACCCTCTCACAAATACACATAAAAGCTTTAAAACCTTAATTTTCCCTCAAATTATCCAGATTTTATCCTGAATATCCTGAATGCCCTCTCTTGCAAATAACCACAAAGAAAATGTATTTCAGAAGAGTTTAAACTTAAAAATAGGATCGCTTTTTGGCCTTTTGGCTAAGATCAAGTGTAGTAAACTTAAAAATAGGAATTTCATAAGATCAAATTTTTATATAATATGAATTATTGTGAAAAATCCCATTCATTTTCCTTCAATTTAACTATATGTATTTATATAACATGAATATATTAAATACACACACACACACACACACAACATTCAGGATGCTTACTTCCACCGGATTTTACCTCTCTTTGGAATGTGAAGATGATCCTTCAGGCTGTTTTGTTTTGTTTTGTTTTGTTTTACTTTCTCTTTTATAGCCTGAACTATAAAACTGCAAACAGATGTGGAATGCCTCTGACTTTCCTGTGAAATTTCTATCCCAAAGAACCTTTCAGGAAAGCATTGTTGGGAATTTCTTGATGTAAAAGCCCAAGAGGGACCTGAAGTGAAAACTCCCATAGGCATTGTACAGTGGCCAATGGACGTGTGGTTATAATTTGAGAAACAAAGCCTATATTTTTATAAGGTCATATAGATGGGCTTGAGGCTTATTTCATTTATCTCTTGAGAGTTATTACCTAAGTGATTCAATACTTCTGTAATGTTATAACACTGATGTAATATTATGGGTATTTGTTTCTCTCCCTCTCCTCTCCTCAAATAATTTCCTTGAAGACTGAAGTCTCTATTGTTTATCATGATTCACAATAATTTAATAAATGTTGAATTATTTATCATTCTAAATATAATCCTTTCGTGTTACGGGATATACCCTACTTAGGATACTGGCTAGAATTTGGAAATGTCACAATGCACATTTCCTCCCCTTGTTTTGGTTTGTTTTTGTTTTGCTTTGTTTTGTCTCCCTCCCACCTTGGGTGAGAGAGAAACAGAGTGTCAGTGGAACCTAATGGGAACAGACTGAATAAATCATAGTCTTTAGTTCATAGCAGATGATCCTCATAGGTCCCTGCAAGGTCCAGCTGAAGTTTTATTACATAACATATGTTTCCTTTCTGCATTACTCTTCTCCACCTCTGCTCGTCCCTTCTGTGCACCCACTATACCCTAACACACTCAAATCCACTAACCTCAGGCATCGCACATTCCTTGGGTTCTCCTATAGCCGTCCACAACATGAAAATTACCACTTACAAACTGCCCTTAAATTACAGCATTTGTCTTCTCCTTGCTGCATGACCATGACTAATACATGCACTTAATAATACAGTCTCAGAAGGCATGAAACAAAATTGAGTCCATATGAAAAAATATGAATCTACCTTCACAGTGGAAGATTTCAATGCTTCTTTTCATGTTATTGATGAGCAAAGAAGGCAATATGTCAGAAAAGATCTAAACAATGCAGTTTCGGGGCACATGGGTGTCGCAGTAGATTAAGCAACTGAGTCTTGATTTCAGCTCAGGTCATGATCTCATGGTACATGAGATGGAGCCCCACATTGGGCTCTGTGCTGACACTATGTAGCTTGCTTGGGATTCTCTCTATCTCCCTCCCTTTCTCTCTGCCCCTCCCTTACTTGTGCACATACACTCCCTCTCTCAAAATAAATGAATAAAGATTTTCAAAAAGACAATTCAAATTAAAAGTATGTAGATGCATATATAAAATTATGCAAATAACAAAGAATACACATTATTTGCCTGTAGCAATGGAAGATTTACACAATTAAGTATTAGATCATTAAAAAAAAAAAGCCTCAACATATTGTGAAGAAGTGACATTACACAAAAGTCTGAGGGCAACCAAAGATGAATCTAGACCTATGTTATCATCATTTTTGTGTGAATTGTTCAAAGATGTCTCTGTCAAACAACTAGCTAACCACTAAGCTAATAGAAGTTACAGTTCAGGGTGCTTAGATGGTTCAGTTGGTTAAGTGTTCGACTCTTGATCTCAGCTCAGGTCTTGATATTAGGGTCATGAGTTCAAGCCCTGAATTGTGTTTCACCGTGCATGTGAAACCTACATAAAAAAGAGACAGAGACAAACAGAGAGAGAGAGAGAGAGAGAGTTCCATAACCACACATATCAAAGAATATAGATTTTAGAAAAATAATTTAGACAAATCACTAAGTAAACAACCACATCCCACAAAATATTTCTCTCACAAAGTCAGAACAGTACCAGGATGCTCACTCCCACTCCTTATATTCAATATTTTACTAAAGATTACTACTAGAGAGAGGGATGTGTGGGTGGCTCAGTTGGTTAAGCAAATAACTTTTAATCTCAGCTCAGGTCTTGATCACAGCGTCATGAGTTCAAGTTATGCATTGGGCTCCATGCACAGTGAGGGGGGAAAAAATCCATGTCATTTGCAGATATCTCTTCCAATCCCATATGCTGCCTTTTAGTTTTGTTGATTGCTTCCTTTGCTGTGCAGAAGCTTTCTTTCTTGGTGAAGTCCCAATAGATATGTTTTCTTTCATTTCCCTTGCTACCAGAATCGTGTCTGGTGAGAAGACCTTGCTCTGGGCAAGGTCAAAGAGGTTGGTGCATGTGTTTCCCGCTATGATTTTTATAGTTTCTTGTTTCCCATTCAGGTCTTTCATCCGTTTTGAATTTATTTTTGTGTATTGTGTAAAAAAAAAGTGGTCCAGTTTCATTCTTCTGCATGTTGCTGCCCAGTTTTCCCAACACCCATTTGTTGAAGAGACTGTCTTTTTTCCATGGATATTCTTTCCTCCTTTGTTGAAGATTAGTTGACCATTGAGTTGTAGGCCCATTTCTGGGTTTTCTATTCTGTTCCATTGATCTATGTGTCTGTTTTTGTGGCAGAACCATAGTGTCTTGATGACTACAGTTTTATAACATATTTGATAAAGGTGTAGTATCCAAAATATATAAAGAATTCATTAAACTCAATTCCCAAAAAGCAAATTACCAAATTAAGAAATGGGCAGAAGACATGAATAAACACTTTTCCAAAGAAGACACCCAGATGGCTAGTAGATACATGAAAACATGCTCAATATCACTTATCATTAAGGAGATACAAATCAAAACCACAGTGAGATACTATCTCACATCTGTCAGAATGGCTAAAATTAACAACACAAGAGACAACAACTACTGGTGAGGATGAGGAGAAAGAAGAAGACTCTGGTTCTGTTGGTGGGAGTGCAAACAGATGTAACCACTCTGAAAAAGAGTATGAGGTCCCTCAAATGACTTAAAATAGAATTACCCTATGACACAACAATTGCACTGTTAAGTCTTTACCCAAAGGATACAAAAATACGGATTCGAAGGTGTACAAACATCCCAACGTTTATAACAACATTAGCAATATCCAAACTATGTAGTGTGCCCAAATGTCCATCAATTGATGAATGGATAAAGGAATTGGATAATATACACAATGGAATATTAGTCAGCCATCAAAAGAAATGGAATATTGCCATTTGCAATGCAATGATGAGGATGGAGCTAGAGAGGATTATGCTAAGCAAAATAAGTCAGTCAGAGAAAGACAGATAGCATATGATTTCACTCATATGTGGAATTTAAGAAACAGAGCAAATGAACATTCAGGAAGAGGGGGGGAAGGACACTGGGAACCAAACCACAAGAGTCGCTTAGCGATAGAGAACAGCCTGAGGTTTGATAGAGGGAGGTGAGTGGGAGTGGAGTTAGAAGGGTGATGGCTATTAAGGAGGGCACTTGTGGTGAGCACTGGATGTCGTATGTAAGTGATGAATCACTGAATTCCATTCCTGAAAATGGTATGCTAACTAAATAAAGTTTAAGTTAAAAATAAGTAAGTAAATAAATAAATACATATCTTTAAAAAATTTTAAGAGAAATTGGGTTTAAAAATAAATAAAAGGAATTCTATTGAGAAAGGAAGAAATAAAGAAGTTTCAAAACATTTTTGAAAGACATTAAAGAAGCCCTATGATAAAAAATAATCTCATATTCACGGATTAGAAGATTAGTATAATTAAGACATCAAGACCTCTCAAAGTGTTCTACAGATTTAGTGTAAATTCTATCAAACTATCAATAGCCTTTATTGGTAGAAAGAGAAAGTTGATCATAAAATTCTTCATAGTGTCTCTCAGAAATAGAGGAAAGAGCACTAAACCCATTATTTTATGAAGTAGTACTGCCTAACTTCCAAGTCACATTACAAGAAAGAAATTGGCAAACAAATATCTCTTCAAACATGTACAAAGATTTTAAACACCATATTAGTAAATGAAATGTTGTATTTTTAAAAATAATAATAATTTACCATGACCACGTAGAGTTTCTGCCAGGAATAAGACATCTAACATTCAGAAATAAGGAAAAGAATGACATGATCAATTTATTTATTTTTTTATTATTATTTTTTTTTTACAAATAGTTTATTGTCAAGTTGGTTTCCATATAACACCCAGTGCTCATCCCCACAAGGCCTTCATCCATACCCATCTCCCCCATCCCGCCCCACACCCATCAGTCCTCAGTTTGTTTTAGCATTCAAGAATCTCTCATGATTTGCCTCTCTCCCTCTCCCCCACTATTTCCCCCTTCTTCTCACCCATGGTCCTCCGTTAAGTTCCTCCTAATCCTCCTATACATGCAAACATATGATATTCGTCCTTCTCTGCCTGACTTATTTCGCTCAGCATAACACCCTCAAGGTGCATCCATGTTGCTACACATGGCCAGATTTCATTCTTTCTCATTGCCGTGTAGTATTCCATCATATAGATAAGCCACATCTTCTTGATCCATTCGTCTGTTGATGGACACTTAGGCTCTTTTCCTGTTTTGGCTATTGTTGAGAGTGCTGCTATGAACATTAGGGTACATGTGTTCCTATGCATCAGCACTCCTATATCCCTTGGGTAAATTCCCTGCAGTGATAATGCTGGGTCATAGGGGAGTTCTATTGTTAATTTCTTGAGGAACCTCCACACTGTCTTCCAGAGGGGCTGCACCAGTTTGCATTCCCACCAACAGTGTAGGAGGGTGCCCGTTTCTCCACATCCTCATCAGCATCTAGAGTCCTCTGATTTGCTCATTTTAGCCACTCTGACTGATGTGAGGTGGTATCTCAGTGTGTTTTTGATTTGTATTTCCCTGATGAGGAGGGATGCTGAGCATCGTTTCATGATATGATCATTTTAATAGATGCATATAAAATGACAAATTAAAGTTTAGATAGATGATTTTTAAAAAATATTTTAGCACATAAAGAATAAAAAGGAACTTGCTCAATATGATAAAAGTATCTGTTTAAAATCCACAACTTCCATAATACTTTATGGTGGATACTAAAGTTGGAAGCAGGGGCGCCTGGGTGGCTCAGTTAGTTAAGTGTCCAACTTTGGCTCAGGTCATGATCTCACAGCTATAGATTTGAGCCCCACGTTGGGCTCTGTGCTGACAGCTACCTCAGAGCCTGGAGCCTGTTTCAGATTCTGTGCTCTCTCTCTCTCTCTCTCTGATCTTCCCCTGCTCATGATGTCTGTCTGTCTGTCTGTCTGTCTCTCACTCTCAGAAATAAATAAAACATTAAAATAAACAAACAAATAAATAGATAAATAAAGCTCGAAGCAAGGGTCTTTCCACTCCTCATTTCATTTCTGCATTGTACCCTAGGCTCCACCCCTTGAAATAAGATAAAGAAAGGAAATAAAGGACACACAGGTTAGAAAGAAAAATATTGAAATTGTAAAAATAATATGTATGTGCAGAGTACATGATTGTATAAGTAAAAATGTTAAGTGCTCTACAAAAACACATAATAGATCAAATTGGTTAACAAGGTTATAAAATACAGTGCCAAACAAAATATGAAATGAATTTTATAACAATTATAAATAAAATGCTATATAAAATACTATTAATATCATGACATTTGAAAATTACATTTTCAAAATATATTCAAGACCTGTATAGGAAAATCAGAAACACTACTGTGTGAACGTAAATAGACGAATAAATAAATAAATAAATATGACATATTAATGGATTCAAAGACTTGATATGTTTACTACATTAATTTCATAAGTTTAATAGAATTCCAGTAAAAATCCTGACAGAATACTTGGAAAAACTGGCAATCTTAATCTGAAATTATATTCTATTGTGTAGAAATATACAATATTAAAGGAATCTAAAATAACAAATCAATCTCAATAAAAAGAACACAGGTGGAGAGCTTATCCAATCTAAATAGAGACTTTAACTACTGGGGCACCTGGGTGACTTAGTCGTTTAAGCGTCTGACTTCGGCTCAGGTTATGATCTCACACCTTGTGAGTTCGAGCCCAGCGTCGGACTCTGTGCAGGCAGCTCAGAGCCTGGAGCCTGCTTCAGATTCTGTGTCTCCCTTTCTCTCTGTTCCTCCCCCACTATGCTCTGTCTCTGTCTCTCAAAAATAAAAAAATTAAAAAAGACTTTATTAAGCTCCCATAAAAACAACACCGTGGTATTAATATAAAGATGCACATATAGATCATTGGAACAAACGAGACTGTCCATAAATACACCAAAATGTGTTAAATTTTTTACAAACATATCAAGCTAATTCATTGGCAAAAGAACAGACTTTTTTCCAAAAAATTATGCTGGGTCAATTGGATATCCATCTGAGAAAAATCCAGCCTCAACTACTCTCTCACACTACACACAAATATTAACTCAAAATGAGTCACAGTCCAGGTGTTAAAAGCTAAACATCTAAAAATACTAGAAAACTTATTTTTAACATGAGGGTGGATCAATATTTATCAAATATCACACAATAAGCATGAACTATAAGAAAAACTGAAAGGTGAAACATTAATGTTTTAACTCTTCTACTCATTAGATGTCATCTTTTTAAAAACGAAAAGGCAATCCATGGACTAGGAGAACACTATATAAGTATATTTATGTATAAATATTTTATATTATGCTCAACTTATATACATGACCTAATATATAAATTATATATAAATATATCTGTGTATATGTATATATTTAAATGTTTTTATTTATTTCTGAGAGAGAAGGAGAGACATCATGAGTTCGGGAGGGTCAGAGAGAGAGGGAGACACAGAATCTGAAACAGGCTCCAGGCTCTGAGCTGTCAGCACAGAGCCCCATGCAGGGCTCAAACCCATGAACTGTGGGAACATGACCTGAGCCGAAGTCGGATGCTTAACCAACGGAGCCACCCAGGTGCCCCTATAAATGTATATTTTTAATATATAATTTATTGTCAAGTTGGCTAACATACAGTGTATACAGTGTGCCCTTGGTTTTGAGTGTAGATTCCCATGATGCATCTCTTACATACCACACCCAGTGCTCATCCCAACAATTGCCCACCTCAATACACATCACCTATTTCCCCCTCTCCAGCCCCCCATCAAATCTCAGTTTGTTCTCTCTGTTTAAGAGTCTCTTATGGGAGGGAGACAAACTATAAATATATTTTTATATTTATTTTTTATGTATAAATAGATATGAAAACAGATCTATACCTAGAATATAGAAAGAACATTTGTAGTCATAGAAAGCCTACAAATACCTTTTTAAATTGTACAAAGGACTTATACATATTTTTAAACAGATGTACAAATGGTCAATAATAACATGAAAAAATTGCTCAGCCTCATTAGTCATCAGGAAAAGCAAATTAAAACCACAATAATATAACACTATAACCCCCCAACCCAAGACTGACTAAAAGGAATATAACTAACAATAGTAAGTAACAAGAATGTGGAACAATTCTGGTGATTAAAATTAGAACTTTCTACTTGTGTTTTGATATCACTCCACAATTTTAAAGTTGCCTAGTATTCCTTACTGACCAGATCATAAGTCCCAGCAACTATTAACTGGGAAGACATGGAATTTCTGTTTACTTTCCATAGCCCTCTGAGGAATGTGTCCAACAGCTTTTGGAGTCCAGTTTTTAATGGCTGCCATTCCATTGATTTTATGCCCTCACTGCTCTAGCTCTCAGGCAATCAGGACAAGTTTCCAGAAAAGTTGTAATATTGCTACAAAGGCAAAAGTTCTATCTGTGACATGAGGCAACAGATTAACTACGTCACAGGTCCTCACTCTGGACTTAAGTCATTTTCCTATTCACGTGATATTCAGCTTTCTTAGAAGCCCAGGTTTACATAGAGAAAGGGAATTCTTGAATGTTTTGGTTCCGAGTAGAGGGAATGCAATTCCCTATTCGAAATTGGATGTTTCTCAAACATGTCTCTTCAGGATACCTGCTTCTAAGACACATCCTTTCTGTCATAGGGGATAATTAATTCCAGAGAGAGAAACCAGCAGCTAAAAGACAAGGTCCTTGAGCCTTTATGAAAACCTCTTTAAATATCCATGCAGTGCAGGGTGAAAATGTTTTGGTGATGTTACATATCCAGAGCAAGTTTCATTATGGTACCAATGAATCATTTGAAAGAGTTTCCTCCACACTCCCTGCCCTGTCCCTATAGGACCAGAGACACCTCTAGGTCACTTTTCCATAGTTTTTCAAAAGAATTCATTCTAAATTCAAATTCCAGATTTTCTATGAAAACTGTTGGGGCTTTAGGCTAGAAGGAAAGATTTAGACTTCTAGAAACACTTTCTCAACAACTGTTGATATGTTACTGAATTACCTAAGTAGTTTTGGTCTGAGGGTGCTATATCTGTCATATTGTAAATTACTTATCCAAGAAGAGGTCAGTTGGAAGACGGGATTATTTCTGAAAATCCCCAAACATCATTAAGATCATCTAAGGCTACAAAGTAAGTTTTTCAATAGCGTTGAAGCATCTTAAAATTGTTTTTTTATCTTCTCTATATAGTAATCATGATGTTTCAATACTTTTAAGTATAGTAATATTAGTTATCCTCACCCCAGTTCTTAAGAAGTTCTCACCCTATCTTCTTAAGAAGATAGTTGGTAAATGTCATTAACCTAACTTGGCAAATGAGTAATCTGGCTCATAGAGATTATGAAATTTTGTAGGAGCCAGCTCTGTGATACCAAGCACTTTCTATTGCATAAGACAACTCCTTTAAGATTCAAGAAATCATGAGCATGAAAATCAAATTTAAATATACCCCACACACAGAAAAGACACACATATGAGTAGTAAATGAAATAAATCATCCATCACTTTGCTCAAGCATGAACAGAGACAGCTCTCCCTGAAATTAACTGCTATGGATAATTGGGTCTCTGTGGCTTCCTGAAAAGTAAAATTAGAGATTAATCTTCCTGAGCTTGTTGCATGGTCAAATGTTTTTCTGTACTTCGCTCAAAATACCAATTCTTCCTATCTCCTAGGTGCAGGCACAGTCACAAAAATAAGTGAAAGTTTTTTGTGTGCCCACAGCAATGTGATGGCTATGTTCATGTATGTTCCCTCAATCAATTTTAAGAACACCCGGGACATGGATATTATCATTCTCACTTTATACATGAGGAAACAAGGATGTGGGGTGCCAAGAAATGTATCCTGGGTAAAAGAAGTTTCAGGTGGAAAAGACTAGATTCCAATCTGGTCTCTCTGGTTCTCAAACCAATATAGTACACTTAATAACTGTGATAGTCATTTTCAACACTGCAGAAAAGTCCGAGGATCCATGCTTGTAAACAGATTGGGAAGGGAGGAAATGGAGCTGCGTAAGAGTTCAAGGTCAGAGGGATATTCAATAAAAGCAGAATCACATTTTTGTTAATATTTAGTGATTCTGGTGTGTGTGTGTGTGTGTGTGTGTGTGTGTGTGTGTGTGTGTTGATGAAATTGCTTCATGTACGCTTGCCTCCAAAAAAGTATTAAAGTCGTTACAATTAGAGGCACCTGGGTGGCTCAGTCAGTTGAGCATCTGAGTTTAGCTAAGGTCATGATCTTGCGGTTTGTGAGTTCAAGCCCCATGTTGGGCTCTGTGCTGACAGCTCAGAGCCTGGAGGCTGCTTTGGATTCTGTCCCTCTCTCTCTCTCTCTCTCTCCCCCCACCTCTATCTGTCTCTCTCTCTCTCCATCTCTCTCTCTCTCCCTGTCTCAAAAATAAATAAAAGCATTAAAAAATAAATAAGAATAAAAATAAAGTCATTATAGTTATTATGGTCATATCAAAAGGAGATTGGTAGTTCAACATTGTTTTTGATAACATAACAATGTAGACAACAGATTAAAAATTTGGAGGAAAAAAATTAACAAGTTACTGTATTATAATCTTGGCTCTGTCCTTCAATCTCTGCTTGATCTTGGACAAGACCCTTAACTTCTCTATATTGTATTGCCTACATTATAAGTATAAAATTATAGTAGTAATCATCTTGTAGGTTTTTGGTTTGTTTGTGAGAGAGAGAGAATGAGCAGTAGATGTTCACGTAGAGAGGGAAACTCAAGCAAGGATCCCCGCCCAGTGTGGAACCCGACATGGGCCTCGATCTCACAACTGCCAGACCATGACCTGAGATGAAACCAAGGGTTGGATGCTGAACCAACTGAGACACCGAGGCTCTCCATCATCTCATAGGTTTGTAGTGCGGATTAAACAATCACGTTTCTACCAAAACTGAACACAGCAAGTATCCAGTAGTTTTAGCTTATATTATCATTATTATTGTCATTATTCAGTCTCTGAGATTGCTTCTTCATTTGCAATTGGATGAAATAATGCTAACCACACAGATTAATACCATGCCATGCACATAGCAGTGAATCATTTAAAAATATATTTGTCAGCTATTAGAATGTTATTGGATTTTGACAACAAGTATTAGCAGTTATTTTGTAGTAGCTCCTGGGCCCTTTATTACATTCTAATGAGAAATACCCTGTTACACTTTTTGTCAACTATTTTAAATAGTCAGATACTGGGCTTTCTTTTTCTGACCTCCATCCCCTTACTGAACCTCAGCCAACTTCATTCAAGACACGCAAAGACCTTGACCAGAGTTATATCCAAGATTCACCCTTCCTCCAACTTCACTTCATCCTTTCATTCATATTCTCAATTACCTTCCATTGTTCTCCATCTCCTAAAATAAAGGGAAAATCCCTAGCTTTACATTCAAAGCCTTTACATCTATTTCCTACCACTCTTTTCAAACTTAGCTGCAATATGACAACTTCAAGATAGGGTGTAAATCATCTCAAGTGAAGAGGTGTGCACAGGTGATCTCCTGCCTGTGTGTTGACAAAGTTCCTCATGTCTATACTCTTAACAGAATCTTCACCCATGAGGTAATGTAAGTAATCTTCCAGAACTCAGATATTAGTTTCTTTTTCAAAAAAGAAAGAAAACTCCATGAGAATCCACAACTCTATAGAATCTAGTCCTTTATTATTTACTAGATGAAGAGACTTAAAAATTCAAGGTTGCATTAATCAAAAAGGATTTTTTTTTTCAGGTAATGTAATGAACCATAGTATGGATTAATGGAGAACAGGAAAAATGTGACAGAGTTTGTCCTACTAGGACTCACAGAGAATCCAAAGATGCAGAAAGTCATATTTCTTCTTTTTTTGGTCATTTACATCGTCTCTGTGGTAGGAAATGTGTTAACTCTGGTCACTATCACTGCCAGCCCATTACTGAGGTCCCCCATGTACTTTTTCCTGGCCTATATCTCCTTCATTGATGCCTGCTATTCCTCCGTCAATACCCCTACACTGATTGTAGATTCACTCCGTGAAAAGAAAACCATACTATTCGGTGTATGTATTACCCAAATCTTTGGGGAACATTTCTTTGGAGGTGCTGATGTCATCCTGCTTACTGTGATGGCCTATGACCGCTACGTGGCCATCTGCAAGCCATTGCACTACACGACAACCATGAGTCAGCGAGTGTGTGGCCTGCTAATGGAAATGGTGTGGGTGGGAGGCTTTCTTCATGCAATGATACAGATCCTCTTTATCATCCCATTACCCTTCTGTGGCCCTAACGTCATAGACCACTTTATGTGTGATCTGAACCCTTTGCTCAATCTTGCCTGCACTGATACCCACACTCTAGGGCTCTTCGTTGCTGCCAACAGTGGTTTCATCTGTGTCTTAAACTTCCTTCTCTTGATGGTCTCCTATGTGGTCATTCTGCACTCCCTAAGGAACCACACTTTGGAGGCAAGGCGCAAAGCCCTCTCCACCTGTGTCTCCCACATCACAGTGGTCGTCTTATTCTTTGTGCCCTGCATATTTGTGTACATGAGACCCACAGCTACTTTATCTATTGATAAAGCAGTGGCAGTGTTCTACACTATGATAACTCCCATGTTAAATCCCTTAATCTATACCTTGAGAAATGACCAGATGAAAAATGCCATTAGGAAATTGTGTAGTGGGAAAGCTATTTCAGGGGAGAAATAAATATTCCTGGAGGACAACATTGATTCAACTGAAGCAAGGATCTAAAGGACATTTTGGATGATCTCAGCAAGGAATACCTACCAAATTAAAAAACCCACTATGAATTATAGATTCTGCATTGAGTGGAACAGGAACATGTGCAAGAGAGAGAAGCCATAAACATGGACTATACTATATATATGTATGTATTTACCTATAAACTCCTGCATATTCTTATTAATAATTCTCTTATTTTTATATGTCTGGGTGGACAGTAATAGTGTGTCTATAACATTATGTCAAAAAACTACCATAGGGTTTTATAAGCAAAGGGCCATTTAACCCCTGGGGGGTAACAAAGATCACCCCAACTTTCCATTTTCCTTGCATGTTGGGAGTCATTCTGGGCCCACTAGTTGAGAAAACTCCTGGTGAGGTTAAAGCAAGTTTGCATGGTCTCTTGCCAATCAGATGACGACCAATATCCACCCCCACTCAATTATTTCTGTTTGAGCACCAACCCCCTAAGGTACTTTGTTGATTAATATCAGGAGTGACTTGTCCCCTTATTCTGAACCTGGTATGATGATTGCACCTTGTGAAGGAACTTATTGTGGGAACTTCTTCTTTCGATTATGGAAACAGACATCGTGTCTCCAGCAGGCCCTGTTTCCCTTGAACTATGATCAGACTAATGACCCTTACTCATGAAAGACTGACCTTTACATGCACAATTCTGTTTCTATGGTTGCGTTAGTCCAAGATGTTCATATAGTTCAACATGTAAATCAACTAACCAAACATGTCTCTCATGCCCTAGCTATTCTAGAAATCATATGGTCCCAACACCATTTGTTGGGTGCTAGAATCATATTCTAGAAATCAAAAGTCCCAACACCCATTTGTTGAAGAGCCTGTCTTTGTTCCATTGGATATTCTTTCCTCCTTTGTTGAAGATTAATTGACCATTGATTTGTAGGACCATTTCTGAGTTTTCTATTCTGTTCCACTGATCTATGTGTCTGTTTCAGTGGCAGAACCATAGTGTCTTGATGACTACAGTTTTATAACATATTTGATAAAGGTGTAGTATCCAAAATAAATAAAGAATTCATTACATTCAATTCCCAAAAAGCAAATTACCAAATTAAGAAATGGCAGAAGACATGAATAAACACTTTTCCAAAGAAGACACCCAGATGGCTAGTAGATACATGAAAACATGCTCAATATCACTCATCAGTAAGGAGATACAAATCAAAACCACAGTGAGATACTATCTCACATCTGTCAGAATGGCTAAAATTAACAACACAAGAGACAACAGGTGCTGGTGAGGATGAGGAGAAAGGAGAAGACATTGGTACTGTTGGTGGGAGTGCAAAGTAGTGTAGCCACTCTGAAAAACTGTATGAGGTCCCTCAAAAGTATGAAAATAGAACTACCCAATGACACAACAATTGCACTGTTAAGTCTTTACCCAAAGGACACAAAAATACGGATTCGAAGGTATACATACATCCCAACGTTTATAACAACATTAACAATATCCAAACTATGTAGTGTGCCCAAATGTCCATCAATTGATGAATGGATAAGGAAATTGGATAATATATGCAATGGAATATTAGTCAGCCGTCAAAAGGAACAGAATATTGCCATTTACAATTCAATGATGAGGATGGAGCTAGAGAGGATTATGCTAAGCAAAATAAGTCAAGCAGAGAAAGACAGATAGCATATGAAATCACTCATGTGTGGAATTTAAGAAACAGAGCAAATGAACATACAGGAAGGGAGGGGGGGAGAGGACAGTGGGAACCAAACTACAAGAGTCGCTTAGCGATAGAGAACAGCCTGAGGTTTGATAGAGGGAGGTGAGTGGGAGTGGAGTTAGAAGGGTGATGGCTATTAAGGAGGGCACTTGTGGTGAGCACTGGATGTTGTATGTAAGTGATGAATCACTGAATTCCGTTCCTGAAAATGGTATGCTAACTAAATAAAGTTTAAGTTAAAAATAAATAAGTAAATAAATAAATAAATAAATAAATAAATATGTTTAAAGACTTTTACCAGAGAAATTGGGTTTAAAACATAAATAAAAGGAATTCTATTGAGAAAGGAAGAAATAAAGAAGTTTCAAAACATTTTTGAAAGAAATTAAAGAAGCCTTATGATAAAAAATAATCTCATATTCACGGATTAGAAGATTAGTATAATTAAGACATCAAGACCTCTCAAAGTGTTCTACAGATTTAGTGTAAATTCTATCAAACTATCAATAGCCTTTATTGGTAGAAAGAGAAAATTGACCATAAAATTCTTCATAGTGTCTCTCAGAAATAGAGGAAAGAGCACTAAGCCCATTATTTTATGAAGTAGTACTGCCTAACTGCCAAGTCACATTACAGGAAAGAAATTGGCAAACAAATATCTCTTCAAACATATGCACAAAGATTTTAAACACCATATTAGTAAATGAAATGTGCTATTTTTCTAAATAATAATTTACCATGACCATGTAGAGTTTCTGCCAGGAATAAAACATCCAACATTCAAAAATAAATCAGTGAGTTTCACTAAATTACTAGAATAAAAGAGAAGAATGACATGATCCTTTTAATAGATGCATATAAAATGATAAATTACAGTTTAGGTTGATGATTTTTAAAAAATATTTTCGCAAATAAAGAATAATAAGGAACTTGCTCAACCTGATAAAAGCATCTGTATAAAACCCACAACTTCCATCATACTTTATGGTGGATACCAAAGTTGAAAGCAGGGGCACCTGGGTGGCTCAGTCGGTTAAGCATCCAACTTTGGCTCAGGTCATGGTGTCACAGCTGTAAGTTTGAGCCCCACGTTGGGCTCTGTGCTGACAGCTAGATCAGAGCCTAGAGCCTGTTTCAGATTCTGTGTGTGTCTCTCTCTCTGACCCTCCTCTGCTCATGCTGTCTGTCTGTCTGTCTGTCTCTCTCAGAAATCAATAAAACATTAAAACAAATAAATAAAATTAGAAGCAAAGGTCTTTCCACTCGTCATTTCATTTCTGCATTGTACCGCAGGTTCTACCCCTTGAAATAAAATAAAGAAAAGAAATAAAAGACTCACAGTTTGGAAAGAAAAATATTGAAATTGTAAAAAAAATATGTATGTACAGAGGACATGATTGTAATAGTAGAAATATTAAGTGCTCTACAAAAACAAATAATAGATCAAATCAGTTAATTTAACAAGGTTATAAAATAAAATGCCAAACAAAATATGAAATGTATTTTATAATAACAATTAGAAATAAGATGCTATATGAAATACATTAATATCATGATATTTGAAAATTACATTTTCAAAATATATTCAAGACCTGTATAGGAAAATCAGAAAACACTACAGTGTGAAAGTAAATACACGACTAAATAAATAAATATGACATGTTAATGGATTCGAAGACTTGGTATGTTTACTACATTAATTTCATAAGTTTAATAGAATTCCAGTAAAAATCCTGACAGACTACTTGGAAAAACTGGCAATCTTAATCTGAAATTATATTCTATTGTGTAGAAATATACAATATTAAAGGAATCTAAAATAACAAATCAATCTCAATAAAAAGAACACAGGTGGAGAGCTTATCCTATCTAAATAAAAGCCTTTAACTACTGGACTTAATATATAAATTATATATAAATATACATGTATTTATATATATATTAAATGTTTTTATTTATTTCTGAGAGAGAAGGAGGAACAGCATAAGGTGGGGACGGTCAGAGAGAGAGGGAGTCACAGAATCCAAAACAGGGTCCAGGCTCTGAACTGTCAGCACAGAGCCCAACGCCGGGCTCGAACTCATGAACTGTGGGAACATGACCTGAGCCTAAGTTGGACAATTAACCAACTCAGCCACACAGGCGACCCTATAAGTATATATTTTAATATATAATTTATTGTCAAGTTAGCTACCATACAGTGTATACAGTGTGCACTTGGTTTTGAGGGTAGATTCCCATGATGCATCTCTTACATACCCCACCCAGTACTCATCCCAACAAGTGGCCACCTCAATACACATCACCTATTTTCCCCTCTCCCAGACCCCCATCAAACCTCAGTTTGTTTTTTCTGTTTAAGACTCTATTATGGGAGGGAGGCAAACTACAAATATATTTTTATATTTATTTTTATGTATAAATAGATATGAAGAAAGATCTACATCTAGAATATAGAAAGAACATTTGTAGTCATATAAAGCCTACAACTACCATTTTTAAATTGTACAAAGGACTTATACATATTTTTAAACAGATGTACAAATGATCAATAATAACATGTAAAAAATTGCTCAACCTCATTAGTCATCAGGAAAAGCAAATTAAAACCACAATAATACAACACTATAACCCTCCTAGACTGACTAGAAGGAAAATAACTAACAATAGCAAGTAAAAAGAATGTGGAACAATTCTGGTGGTTAAAATTAGAACTTTCTACTTGTGTTTTGATATCACTCCACAATTTTAAAGTTGCCTAGTATTCCTTACTAACCAGACCATAAGTCCCAGCAACTATTAACTGGGAAGACATGGAATTTCTGTTTACTTTCCATAGCCCTCTGAGGAATGTGTCCAACAGCTTTTGGAGTCCAGTTCTTTAATGGCTGCCATTCCATTGATTTTATGCCCTCACTGCTCTAGCTCTCAGGCAATCAGGACAAGTTTCCAGAAAAGTTGTAATATTGCTACAAAGGCAAAAGTTCTATCTGTGACATGAGGCAACAGATTAACTACGTCACAGGTCCTCACTCTGGACTTAAGTCATTTTCCTATTCACGTGATATTCAGCTTTCTTAGAAGCCCAGGTTTACATAGAGAAAGGGAATTCTTGAATGTTTTGGTTCCGAGTAGAGGGAATGCAATTCCCTATTCAAAATTGGATGTTTCTCAAACATGTCTCTTCAGAATACCTGCTTCTAAGACACATCCTTTCTGTCATAGGGGATAATTAATTCCAGAGAG